GGGGGGGGGACGGGGACTCGACACACAAGCCCCATGGAGCTGCTCAAAGAAAGAAGAATATCAAAAGCGAATGTAGTTGGAACCTGCTTCTCCCAAGTCATGGATAAATAAATGGAGGTGAGAGATTAAAATTAGCACAAGGTTGCACAGAGCAGCATGAAACCAGAAACCAAAGATCTTAAAAGAGTTTCTTTACCCCACCTTACTCAACTCAAAAATGCCAGAAAAGGAACAAATAAAAACAAATGAGGTATATGCTGAAAAAGAAGAGTTCTTTTAAAAAGCTTTCTTCCTCCTCCCCCTACCCAAAAAAATCTTTCTCCTTTCTTATATGATCCTTGGCTAGGTACAGACAAGATTGTATATATTGTTTTTAAGTGCCACTGAGTCCATTACAACTCATAATGACCCTGTCTAGGATTTCCAAGGAGTGGCTAGTGGGTTTGGACTGCTGACCTTGTGGTTCAAATTGACCTTGCAGTTCAGTGCCTTACCCCACAATGCCACACAAGAACTCCAAGATTGTATATACTAACATTAAGTTGTTGCTACTGTTGTTAAGTGTCATCAAGCCAGTTACAACTCATAGTGAGAAGGGTTTCTGAGGAGCAGACAGCTGATGGGTTTGAGCCACCAACCTAGCAGTTAGCAGTCCAGTGCTTATCCTACAGTACCACACCAGGACTCCAAACTGTTCCAATAATGAATCCCTATTAAGATGGTAGCCATGTTAGGAGTTATCAATCTAGATAAATACAACACTAGAGCATAAGGCATATGGGTCAAGACCATTCCAGGAGAGCCAGATAAGTTCAGAGTATTTTGGAGAATGTTTTAGCAATCATCTAAATCTAAGTCTCACTATTGTACAAGAAAGAAAATATAGAAGAATAAAATACTGCTAGAGGTAAACCTGAATAGGTACGCAAAGCATTTTAGCAGCCATGAAATGAGTTCGGGAAAAAATAGCATATACCCAGATTCATTACAAATAAGTAAACATGAATTTAAATTGGAAGATAATAGAACAGAACTAAATAAAAACTAGGAGTTAGTGTAATTCAACTGGCAACAATTTTCATACTAAGACGGAGTTCATTTTTCTACTGCTCAACAGAATTTCAGAATTAAGTCACTGCTACATCAGGGAATGCCACACACAGGAAATGAGTGAAAACATACTGTCGTGTTTCTATCTTGGAATGTGTAAATAAACAAATACATTGTTAGATGTATATTAACTGTAAAGACAGATCTCTAGCCTTAGACGCGCTCGTTAGTTTTTGCCACTTGCCTGTAGTAACGTGACTGCAAGTAGGTTGAGCACACAGCTTTGGAAACGTGACTAGCAGAACCAAAGTCAATGACCTTCACTCGGTAGGGTTGGCGCACTGGATCCACCAGCATTATGTTTTCAGGCTTAAGGTCAGCGTGAATCAGACCAAGGTTCTTGAGCTTCATCAGGGCTGTAGCCACCTGCTGTAAGATTGGCCTGATGTATTTGAGTGGCAGTGGGCTAAACTTGTTCTGCTTTAGAAAATCATATAAGTTCTGCTCCAGCATCTCAAACACAAGGCAGGTATGATTCTTATGCTGAAAACACTCATAAGAACGGACGAAATTAAACTCATCAGCATTTTCACTGCTTAGGCGGGAAAGGATGCTCACTTCAATCTGTCCTTGTCTGGCATAGGAGGGGTGATTCTTCAAGATTTTAATAGCCACAATTTCCTTGGTGCTCCGCTTCCAGCACTTAGCCACCTGTCCAAATGTTCCCCGGCCCAGGAACTCCAAGACTTCATAGCTGTTGGTCATAGAACAAAGGATCTCATGCTGGACCAGCTGGTAATCCCCTTCTCCACTGGAACTGCTACTCTTTGTGGTCACAGTGGTGGTCGTGGCAGCAGCACCCACCACAGTCCTGTTTTGCAGCATGAGAGGGGGATGTTCTTCTATGATCTGCACGCTACCGTTGCTGTCAACTTCCTCACTTTTTCTTTTCAGTCCACATTTTTGATATGGCTCAAGCAATGAAACGTTGCTTCTGTGAGTCAGGGTCTGGCTGCTTTGGAAGGTTGACGTAGCAGCGCTGCCCGAGCTATCTGCGGCTGTTACAACAATATGCTCCACTGCGGGAGCTGGGAGGAGGAGGCCTTGGTCGTAAGCAGGGAGGTTGAAATTTGCTACCTGGTGAGAGGAGTTGGCTTGTCCCTGTGTGGCTGGGAGAGTTTTACTGTGGCTATAATATTTGTCGTTGCTGCTCTGTCCTGAAACATCCCAGCCAGAGGGCTCTATTTTCAGTTTCTTCGCACTGCAGAAGGCACTCGACGACACTGATGGGGGGGAAAACACCTGCAGCTGTGATGCCATACCTGTATTGAGAGAGAGAAAGAATAAGACCACTTGGATTCCATACACCACTTCAACTGATAAAGAAAACTCATTTAGAAAAACCACAAATTATCAATCACACTCTTATCTGGTCTGGCTTTTATACATTTTCCAAAACAGACTTCTGTTTTAGAAGGTTAAATACTTTTTTGGTATCATTACAGTCTTACTCACTCCTGGAGATGCAACTATTGATATATTGTCAGAGTATGAATATCTAGGATGGTCTATAATAGCTTAGATGATAGTCTAAACTATTGATTTATAGTCATAATATGACAAGCAGTAGTCTAAGCACTTCACATGAATTACTCTTTTAATTCTTACCACAACACTTCAAAACATATATTACTACTATTCCCATTTGTAGATGAAAACACTAAGGTACAAAGAGTTTAAGTAATTTGCCCCAAACCACACTGCTATTAAATTGGCAGCACTAACCTAGGCTTTCTGGCTCCATACAGTACATTCCAGAGCTCTGTCTTCATCCCCTGGCCTGACTGACTTTTTAATCAATTATCTAAATTTGGACCTTGATGGCATGTTTCTAAAATGGACAATGAACCAAAGTTGGCTTATATTTTTAAGTCACAGGTCCCAACTCCCCACTCTCTGCTCCCCCTCCCCTCAAAATCACAGTAAGGTAGAAACTACAAGGCAAATCTGTTATTTGTTGTTTTGTGCCATCGAGTCAGTTCCAACTCAGCGACTCTGTGTAAGGAGTCAGAGAGCAGCTGGTAGGTTTAAACTGCTGTGGTGCTGCGGGTTAATGCACTGAACTGCAAAGGAGTTTTGAACCACAAGGTCGGCAGTTCAAGCTCACTAGCCACTCCTTGGAAACCCTATACAAGGTTGCTATGGGTCAGAACCGACTCGACAGCCCTTAAGAACAACACCAACAACAATAACAAAGCATAGCAGATGACAATTAACACAAAAACTCCTATACTTAGGTCCAAACTAATGAATAGCACACAGCACAATGGTAAGACAAGTATATATGAAAAGCATTTTCAGTTGGTAAGAGAAACTGAATGATGCAAGAGAGTTCCCCTCCCCTCATAAACTGACTCAACATTAAATTGTATTTATAAGAAACCGTGTATAGAACACAGCAGACAAAGTGAAGGCTACCGACTCTGCTCAGATTCTATATACCATTTAACTCTTACCATTACATTTCAGGAGTCATGGTGTGGCACTGTAGGATAAGCGCAGGACTGCAAGGTAGTTCAAACAGTCCAACTACTCCTCAGAAACCCTATATGGGGCTGCTATGAGTCAGAACCAGCTCAAAGGCACTCAACACCAACTACTACATTTTAAGAGGACCATTGAGTGTCCAGAAGAAAATAGCCAGGAAGAAGAGAAGCCTCTGAGACCAAGAGAAGTTATCTTAGAAAAACGGAGCACAGAGTGAGAACAGTCCAGCTTCTGGCTCTGATTGTTCCATGGACACCTCAAACCAAATAACCCTACAGTGGTTACCTTGAGAATGAAGTCCAAATATCTGCCTAGCATGACCTCAGTATCAGCAGTTCAAAACTACCAGCTGTTCCGCGGGAGACAGATGAGGCTTTCTGCTCCCGTAAAGATTTACAACCTCAGAAACCCTGTACAGGGTCGCTATGAGTCGGAACCGACTCCACAGCACATAACCACCACCACCATAAGCCATTTCATATTTACCTTCACCCTTCTCAACATATCTTGGGGTTCTAATCTACCTAATCCCTCTTCTCTTGCTCCATACTTTTCTTCTTTTCAATTACTACTCCCTAGGACTTTTGTTTTTGTTAAGTGCCGTTGAGTCAATTCTAACCCATAGCGACCCTGTGTTTCCAAGGAGCAGTTGGTGAGCTTGAACTGCCAAGGTTGTGTTCAAACAACCTTGCAGTCCAGTACATTAACCCACAACACCACACCAGAACTCCCCAGGATTGTTGTTGTTGTTGTTAGGTGCCATCGAGTTGGTATCAACTCAAAGTGACCCTATGCACAACAGAACGAAACACTGCCCGATCTTGGGCCAACCTCACAATTGTTGCTACGCTTGAGCCCATTGATGCTGATTGTTGTTATTAAGTGCTGTTGAGTCGGTTCTGACCCATACTGACCCTGTAGAGGGTTTCCGAGGAGAAGCTGGTGAGCTTGAACTGCCGACCTTGCAGTTCAAACGGCTTGGCAGTCTGGCGCATTAATCCATAGCGCCACACCATGCTGATCCATAAAAGATTATCAAATTGTATCTCTAATTCAGATTTTGAAGTTCAAGAGAACGCTCCTGAACTGACTTTGCAGCCCAGCGCATTAACCTACAGCACCACACCAGGACTCTCTAACAGTTAATATAAGCTTACCTGTTCTACTTCCAAGTAGATACACTATTTCAAATTAGCCATTTCTCTCTACTCATATGGGCATCATTCTTGTTGCCCCAATTGCTCTCGCTGAATCTACTCAAAGAATCTTTTAAATAATGCAGATTGGATTCCAGAACTAGCTCAGTCTTTCTTAACCACCTCCCGCCCCTGGAGCTTTTTAGTGCTTTCTGGATAAAGCCCATAATCCTCAACCTGCCTTTAAAAACTGTCCAACATTTGGCTATGGACTTCCAACCTCCTCCCACCTTGAATTCCATCACTCCAGCCATCTGCTTTGTTTTCAGTTCTTGGAAGGCTACTCCATATTCTGTCACCGCCAGGCCCTCTAATACCTCAGTAACTGCTAGGAAATTTCCCCTGACAACCTGCCCCCACCACACACTGCAATCATCCCACCCCATACCAATGCATTCCCACAGCACCTTGTTCTTTGATTATAACTTGTAATGATTCATTTAATGCTACATTTTGAGCTACAGTGTACATTTCATAAATACCTTGTCAGTCTTGTTTATATCACTGGAGCCTCCGACAGACTGGCAATACCTGTTAGGTGTACTGCTAAGCTGATTCTGATTCTTGGTGACCCAATGGGACAAAGCAGAACTGCCAAAGAGGATTTTCTTAGGCTATAATTTTACTGGAAGTCCTGGTGTGACGCTGGGGGGATAATGCACTGGACCACGAGGTAGGCAGTTCAAACTCACTTGCTGCTCTTCAAAAACCCTATACAGGGCCACTGAGTCACAACTGACCTGAAGGCACTTAACAACAACATAATCGTACCGAGAAGGAGCCCTGGTAATGTAGTGGATTATGGGCTGGACTGCTAGCCACAAGGTAAGCAGTTCAAATATACCAGTTGCTCCATGGGAGAAAGATGAGGCTTTCTGCTCCCATAAAGAGTTACAGCTTCGGAAACCCTGTACAAACAGGTTCACTACAAGTTGGGGCCAACTCAACAGCACACCACCCCCACCACCAATCTTAATCTCACCCAGAGCAGCTAAGCACTTGATGGCAGTGCCACCAGAGGTCCTAGGCAATATCTACCAAAAACAAAAAACACCCACAGCCATCAAGTCAATTCTGACTCATAGTCACCCCTTGGGACAAAGTAGAACTGCTGATGGCTCTGTAGGATAAGTAATGGGCTGCTAACCCAAGGATGGAGGTTCAAATCCAACCCCTATCTATACAAGGTTGCTATGAGTTGGTACCAACTCAACAGCACACAACAGTATCAGAGCTGCTCCAGAGTTTCCGAGAATATAAATTTAGGGAAGTAGACAGTCATCTTTCTTTCAAGCAGGGGCTAGTGGGTTTGAACTGCCAACTCTGCTGACCCCACGGTGCCACCAGGGCTCCTACTGCATCTGGGCACTCAGTTAGATGAATGATTTGAGCACTGTCTACCAACCTCATATCTAGTATAACTCTTCACCACTAATAAACGAAATACTTTCAAATGCTTCTTAAATGTCCCTCCCTTTTATCTGTGCGGTTCTTGAGATATGATGGAAGTTTCCACTCCAATCTACATAATATAATTTTACAAGTCATAAGTGAATAAACACACACAACTAGAAAGGAAGGAAGCATGACAAAGGATGTTACGGAACATCAAAAAGTAATTGTGTTCATTTTGTTGTGCCTGACTGCAACTAAAAACCATCGGTACTGAACTAGACAGCTGGAATGAAGAATAAATCCTCAACTTCCAATTTCTAAAATGCAGTTTGGATATATTGTAAACAGTTTTTATAATTCATATGAACCTTGAAGAAGGTGCAAATTAAAAGTCAGTGTAACTTAATACCAATGCAATTACTTTATGAATTTGTTCTACCTATATTACTGACACAATACCAAATATATTTAAAAAACAACAAGAAGCAGCTCCTTTACAAATTTATCTATTAAAATATATCCAAAAGAACCATAAAATTGAGCCAAAGTATAAAAGGAAACAAAATTTGTTTTCCACTGTATCTGTTGAGCTACTAGCTTTAAATAATAGTTCAAATAATAATCATGAATACAAACTATATACTTAAAAGTATTTGAATATAAAATTTATAATTTGTAGTTGTATCTAACAAATACGATCATATAAAGTAATAATGCTAAAAAGAATTCCTGAAATGTACTATCAAATTGCTAAGTATACTTGTTTTCCAAAACTCTTAAAAAATACTGTATTAACAAGCATAATGTCATTGGTAACTTTTCACCCAATGAACAAAACAACAGATAATGATGGTTAACGACGGTTCCAAATCTTCCAAACTGCAGTAACTGTACAAGTTCTAGTTAACTTTTCAGAATGGGTTAGCATATAAATAAATATTACTCTTATTTCAGAAGATAAACTAAAGTCTAACCCAGAGGGAGAAAAACTATCAGAATTTCACTGGTCTTTCCAACAGCAAGAACATGCTTAATGATTATCAGACCACCAGGACTCCTCAAGTGGCTGAGACTCATCCTGGCTTGTACCAACACAAGGTATGAAGAAAATATAGAATCAAATTGGTTAGAAAAACCAGCAGACTCTCACTTACATACTACTCTGAAACTCTGCTAAAAATGAC